CTGCCCCTGCCCCTCACCTGCCCCAGCCCCTCACCTGCCCCAGTCCCTCACCTGCCCCTGCCCCTCAGAGGCCTCTCAGGCCCCAGCTGCTCCATCCAGGTGGGCAGATCCTCCCAAAGCAAAGGCAATCTTCTCTTTTCTTTCCTGTTCAAAAGTCTTTCATGGGTCTCGGTCGTCTAGCACAGTGTCTTTCCTCTTTCTTTTAAAATATTTATTGATTGATTTGAGAGAGAGGGTAAAGGAGGGATGGAAGGAGGAAGTAGAAAGGGAAGGAGGGAGGGAGGGAGAGAGAGAGAGAGAGAGAGAGAGAGAGAGAGAGAGAGATTTGCTGTTCCACTTATTTATTCACTCACTGGTTGATTCTTGTACGTGCCCTGACCGAGGATCGAACCTGCAACCTTGGTGCATTGGGACGATGCTCCCGCCAACTGAGTACCCTGCCAAGGCTCTTCTCTCTTAAACGTACATGTTGGTTGTTTGGGTGAGTTAAAACCTGTCACTGAGTCAAGCAGTCCCCCTCGAAGGCCAGGCCACTGATTGATTGACTGGATCTCATTTCAGAAATCTACAAACAAGTGCGCACAAGCCCACACCCTTTCTTTCCCTACACAAATCATCAGCACACTGGGCTCGCTGGGCTGTGCCTTCTACAGTTCTTCAACTTTGTTTCATTTTGGTATAAAAAGAGTCTTTCCTTCTTTGGAAGGCTGCTGGGTGTTCTGCTGTGCAGACCTCACTGGTCCGCACTGGGCGGGCGTTGAGGAAGATCCTATCTTTTCTGTCACCAGCAAGGCTGCAGCAAACAATCTGTGCGTGTGTCATTTTGCTCGTGTGTATTATTTGCAGGACAACTTTCCAAAAGTGAAATTACTGGGTCGCACAGTGTGTGCATTAACATTGTCAACATGGTAAAGCAGTTGGTGGCACCATTCCTAGTATTTAACCTGGAGATGGCAGTGGGCCTCAACCTGGGCTCTAGATGGGCTTGAGTATCTGGAAGTCCTCAGATTGGTAGACAAAACTTGTGCATATACGTAGGTACATTTTTCTAGGCGACCAAAGCTTTCATCAAGTCTATAGAAGGGTGTGTCCTACTCACCCCGCTGATTGGTCTCCAAGCTCCTCCAGTGTGAACTTCCCATCCTTCGGGAAGACCAGCCTTGCACATTCCCCGCCTCTGAGTCTTTCTCAGGGAACACCTCCTCCCACCTTCTCTGCCATTCCAAATGATCGTGGCTAGCAGGGCCAACCACGCTTACCCAGCACTCACCATTTGTGCGAGAACCACATGAGAAGGGTCTGTGTGTTCCCACCACCTCCATTAGATGGACATGGACATGGACATGGACATGGACATGGACATGGAGGCACAGATGAGTTAAGTAGCCTGCGCAGCAGTCAGCACTGGGATTGGAACCCAGGAAGAACGATGCTGCCCCTGCTCTGGAGTGACTATGAGTGGGAGTCAGGAGCTGGGCTCTGGGGGCCCTCGTCCTGGCTGCATCATTGGGGCACCCTCTCTCACCCATTCAATCAGGATCTCTGGGCAGGACCCAGATCTGGGGGCTTTCTCAAAGTCCTCGATGATCTCAGGACTTTGAGAAAGGGGAGCAAGACTCAGCGAAGATCTGGAATCAGCTCTTTGTCCCCAGACTCTGACTAGGGGCCATTAGGCCAGTGCTGATACATGTGAGGGCTCTTCACCCAGTGACCTAAATGCGAGGGAGCTGCTTTAGGCTCTAGAGCAGCGGTTCTCAACCTTCCTAATGCCACGACCCTTTAATACAGTCCCTCATGTTGTGGTGACCCCAATTTCATTGTTACAAATTGAACATAATTAAAGCATAGTGATTAATCACAGAAACAATATGTAATTATATATGTGTTTTCCGATGGTCTTAGGCGACCCTTGTGAAAGGGTCATTCAACCCCCAAAGGGGTTGCGACCCACAGGTTGAGAACCGCTGCTCTAGAGGGAAACAAGGAACCGGATTTATTTTAAGCTCTATCCTCCCTGAAGAGATTCCATCAAGTGTCAGCTCAGCCTTTGGAAAAGGCGTAGATGAGCATTCTGTGTATGTTCATAGGAAACAGACTCTGCCTACATTGGACTTGAAATGTACTTGATCACCACACCCAGTGATAATGCAGCATTCTCCCACACGGAGCCCCAGCCCCAAACATCTAAGTATGTCTCCTGCTCTTGGGAAATACAAAATGAGGATTAAAATGAGAGAGCAGTTGAGGCTGCCAAGAAAATCTGGAAAACTAAATATGATATTTTTTTAAAAGCTGGAAAGACAAACACTCAATGTTACCTTACCTGTAAAGAACCAACACAGACTGCTTGACACAGAAAAGAGTTACCACTGCCCTGGGCTTCACTCCCTGGGGCTTGTCATTGGCCCTGGTCCCTTCTACTGTTCAGAAGGTGGAGGGTGTGGAAATCAAAGTAAATAGCATTCCTGAGCGACTCGTTGATTGTGCAACCCTGAAGCCCTTTCAGAAAATTCCCATGCAATCCGAGTAGGTGCCCAAATGCTCAGAGGCCAGGTGTGAAATCTGATCTTGTGCAAGACCCGAGGTGTCCTGCCTCGAGTCCTGTGTGACCTTGGGCCTCAGTCCCCCCAGCACCCTCCACCTCACAGACTGTGCTGAGAATTAAGTGCAGACCTGTGAGTGATATATGCCTGGCAGTGTTGGGTCAGGGCACCTCTGCTGGAAGGAGGAGACAGGCACTGACAGGCATGGTGGGGCTGAGGCACCCTTGCCCGCCTCAGCCTGGCACAGGTGAGCTGGCAGTAAGTGGCAGAAGATATCAAGTGGCAGCTCTCGGGTCTTAGAAAGTTTCCAAGGGAGTTGAATTGCCATACAGACCTAATGAGGCTGTCTGAGTGGATGCATTTCACAAGCTGTAAAGCCTGGTGAATGTGAAGTAGTGGTGGCATTACGTGATTCATTCAGCACACAATGTTCTCTGACCCCCTCCCCACCTACTTTGTTCCAGAACCTGTGCTGGGCACACAGAGTTCAACAGTGAATGGCACAGACCATTCTCTGCCCTCGGGTCTAATGTGAGTCTAAAATCTTGCAGGCTCCAGTGTAGTCACTAAATCCTGACTGTCATCCCTGTTAAGAGCCAGCGCTGTTTGGGTGTCGGCAGGTGAGGCATTCCTATGCACTTCCCATGGTGTGGCGGCAGGACACTTGCCAGGTGCCTAAAGCAGAGACTTGGCACCTCCCTGCAGTATCAGCAATGCCTGTCACTGGATTGACAAGGGCCCAGTTCAGGGCCCTTCACACATCCCTCCTCACATCCTCCTCAGGACCAGGCAGCCCTGACTCGCAGGTGTGTGCTGGAACGTAAGAAAAGTGATGCACAGAGTATTGCACTCAAGCAAAGTACCTGGCAGGCACTTACAACTCTCAGGAATACAACTCTCAGCCACCATGCCACTCAGGGGGTTCAAGCAGCTGAAGAAGTGCTGGGAGAGCATCAAGACTCCAACCAAGAAATGTATGGCACATGAAAGGGGAGAGAAAATGAAACGGAGCATCAGCCCACTTCTGACTCCCCAGTCCCTGGGGAAGGAGAGGATCACCAACACGCTGCCTGGGCAGCTCTGCTTCCTGCAGAACCAAGAAGAAGAAGAAGAAGAAGAAGAAGAAGAAGAAGGAGAAGAAGAGGAAGAAGAAGAAGAAGAAGAAGAAGGAGAAGAAGAGGAAGAAGAAGAAGAAGAAGAAGAAGGAGGAGGAGGAGGAGGAGGAGGAGGAACTGAGAAACCCTCCTTGAACTAATAAGTGAGTTCAGCAAGTTGCAGGATACACTGTCAACACACAGATCAATCCTGTTTCTAACCACTAGCAACAAACAATTGGGAAAAAAAATTTTTAATTTTAAGCAATACTATTTACAGTAGCTCTGCCAAAATCAAATATTAAGGCATAAGTATAAGGAAATGTGCACAGCATCTATAATGCCACAACCTACAAAACATTGATTTTTTAAAAAATTCAAACAGTATCTTAATAATTGGAGAGGTGTACCATGTTCATGGACTGGAAGACTCAACATAGAAAAGATGTCAGTTCTCTCCAAATGGATCTCTAGAAAGAACACAATCAAAATCCCAGCAGATAGATATTCAGATATTGACATGCTGATTCTAAACTTTATGTGGAAAGGCAATGGAACTAGGGAAGGGGTGAGCTGTCTCCTGAAATGGGCAGAAATGTGAGTCACTTGCACTGTCAACTCTTGATTACAGTGACTCTATAGAAAGTTTAAAATTTGGTAGTGTGATTTCTCCAAACTACAAACCCAGGAGACATCCTTGGCTCCCTCCACCACCAATCACCCAAAATTTCCAGTGGCCACAATCCAACAGGTTCTTCTTTTTCAAAACTATTTTATTACTTAATAAAAGATAAACTCCTTTGTGCTTACTGTGCAGTGCAAGCAATGGAACACTATCATTATCTTTGGAGGCCTTTATACACCCATTCCCAACCCCATAGCTCTTTCTTCCTTAGGAAAGTCATTCTCAGGAGGTGCTTGGGAGGGTGGGTCCTGAAGGAATTGAGGAGTGGAAATGAGTCAGATTTTGTACCTGTTGGATTTGAGGAGCTTGAGAAATAGGGCCAGGACTGGGGTGAGGCAAGTGAAATGTCTGGGTGAAAAATGTAATGAGGAACTCACTTTCAATATCATACAAGTGCAGGTTTGGTCCCTGCAGAGAGCAGAGACATCCCATAGGCAAGTGGATGGATGTGTGGGGCTGAAGGCCACAGAGAGAAATGGGCCGGCAGTGGGTTCCTGGGATCCAGCCTATGAGGTCCTTCTAAGAACAGATTTAACTTGAGTGAAGAGAAGGAGAATGAGGAGGCTCACAAGGACATCCTAAGGAGGCCCCATGAAGAAGTTACTCAGAGAGTCAGATACAAACCAACAATAAAACCACTTGGAGACATTGGGCAAGTAGCTCAGTTGGATAGAGCATTGTCCAAGACAGCAAGAGTGAAGGTTTGATCCCTGGTGAGAGCACATATAAGAGGCATAAATAAGTGGAACAACAAATCAATCTCTCTCTCTCTCTCTCTCTCTCTCTCTCTCTTTCTCTCATCAATTTTTTAAAAAGCCACTTGGAGCTCATGCCTACCCTCTCCTCCAGGCCTCTAACTGGATATGCAGCGAGTGGACATATAGTTCTTCCCCTGGGCTCAACACGAGTGCAAGCCCAGCCCCAAAGCAAACAAAAACAGAGCCCAGAGAAAACAGGAGAAAGGTTTGGTTTCTCCACCAAGGGGATAATAAATGACTGGACAGAGTTGAGAGGTGATTAAACTGGAACTGTATTGCCTAGCAGGGCATCAGATACTATAACTTGGGGGTGGGGGGTTGCACCAAACCAAATTCCCACAGGGCCAGGCAGGCACTGTCAGTGGGTGAAAGGAGCCAGGAGAAGGAGAACTATTCCACAGTGAAAGTGAGCGACAGAACGTGCTACACAATGGCGTGGGGTTACAGGGGAGAGGGATGTGGTCCACTGAGAACTCTGGGTCCCTTTTAAAGAGATAGTCACAACTCATTTCAGCCTACTCTTGCCTGGGAAATGTGTTCACTGTAGCCAGAACTATAGATTTCTCAAGAAATGTCTGAAATCTGGATTTCTCATGTGAAATGTCTTATTTTAAATGTTGGCCATTTATTCAGACACATTTAAAAAACTGTATATGCCAACACTGTTTGAACCAAGTAGACACACCCACAGGCCAAATTCAGCGAAGTCCTTCTGTGGGCAGCCTCTGTGTTAACCCCTTGGATTTTCTAATAAAATTTACTGTGACTCAGGGCACCAGCCTTCCTCCCCATTCCCTCGATTCCCTCCTAACTTCACCTGAAGAGCTTTTAACCAGAGGCAGAGGAGCAGAGAGACCCCACAAAGGAAGACGCACCCCACACACGCAAATGACCTCTCCTTCAATGGTTTTCTCTTACAGGTGTTTGGGTTCTGGGTCTGGGTCCTGGTGGCTGCCACCCACGTGGCAAACCCGCTGCTGCAAGGATGGGTGTTGTACGTCTCGCTGACCTCGTTCCTCATCTCCCTCATGTTCCTGTTGTCTTACTTGTTTGGATTTTACAAGAGATACGAGTCCTGGAGAGTCCTGGTAAGAACCAGTGAGGGGATTAGGCCCTCGAACTGCCCCAGACTGGTGTCCTGGGTGTTGTGGGGACAGCGGGCCTTCTGGGTGCAGAGGGGGAACCAGAGACCTTTCCTGGGCTGGGCCCCCATGACCAAGACTTTTTATGTGAATGTGTTTGCTCTGAAACCGGAACGAGAGCGCTGCCCTGCCGGAGTCAATCTCATTGCATTCCCTGCTGTGCCTTCCTTGTGAGGAACATACACATTCTGTATGCAGTTGACCCTTAAACAGCATGGGGTTAGGAGGTGACCGGCTACACAGTTGAAAATCTACTTGTAACTTTGACTCCCCCAAAATGTAGTTACTAAAAGCCTATTGTTGGCTAAAGGCCTTACCAATAACACAAGTAGTCGATTAACACATATGTCATATGCTAATGTGTTATATACTGTATTCTCATAATAAAGAAAGATAGAGAAAAGAAAATGTTATTAAGAAGGTCCTAAGGAAGAGAAAATACATTTACAGTACTTATTGAAAAAAAATGCACGTTTAAATGGACCAGCACAGTTCAAATCCGTGTTGGTCAAGGGTTGACTGTCCTCCTGACACATTTCCCTCTAAATCTCATTTGGGAAAAATCAGTGGAGCAACAGCAGGAAAAAGTCACCCCCATCTCGAGGTCTTGTCACAATCACTGGGTTCGTTCTTCTGATTCCCCACAAATTTTGTGTGAAATGCGTATATATGTTAATCACACTGAACTAATGATTTTGGGTGTCGAAACTTTCGTTTAATATTACATCATTTTTTCATCTTTTCAAATCATCTTGATAACCATTAATTTTTTTCTATATTGAACAACTTACCTCACCACCGATCAGATTAAATGAGATAAATGAGAAAAGGGCTTGGCCTAGAACTTGGCACAGAATAAGCTCTCAATTAGTATTGATATTATTACTGCTGTTTATTAATCCACTATTGCTCACTACATAGATATTTCATTAGAAACACTGCAAACAAACCCCCCCAAAAACAAGGCAGGAGGTAGGGAGCAGGCCTGTCTCTTTCTCGCTCCTCCCAGCTGTGTCGTGGGAGGAAAGCGCTCACTGGCTGAGTGCCCGGGTGATGTGGCCTCCCTCTTTCCTTCCAGGACAGCCTGTACCACGGGACCACCGGCATCCTGTACATGAGCGCGGCTGTCCTGCAGGCCCACGCCACCATCGTCTCTGAGAGCCAGGACCTGGGCAACTACATGACAAACACTGCGGCCACGGTGGGTGCTGGGCCTGACCGCCATGGGGAGGGTCCCACGGGCTTGGCTCTTTGGCTCTGCCTCCTGCAGAACAGCCCACCTGAGCCCTCGGGCTGATGGAGCCCTGGGGACAGGAGGAGGGGTGTGTGTGTGTGTGTGTGTGTGTACACGTGTGCCCAAGCTCGCAGTGCCCCAGGCCCAAGTTCAGGTGTCATCTCTCACCTTCTGTTCCCCCCCCCCCTCAGCCCTCTTGCATCCCCTTCACTGCCGTCCAAATATTTTTTTTCCAAAGCACAGATTGCAGGGCCTTTGGGGCTCTCATTGCTGTGGAGTGGAGCCCAGGGCCCTCAGCACGGCTGCACTGGCCAGGCGCCCGTTTATTTCAGTGATGGGACCCAAGGCTAGGTAGCCCAGCCAAATGGTGGGACAAGCGGGACCCCAGACCTTAGGCTCAACAGACCAGACTCCAAGCCCCTGTGCCTCCCCTCCTGGTCTCTGCACTGGGCCTCCTTCCTCCCTGTGTGGGAATGGCGCCCTCACGTGGCAGCAAGCTCACAGCTGACAGATTCCTCCTCTGACAGGCCTAGCCTTTATCACCTCACCTGGGAAACTTCCAAGGCAGGACTCCAGCTGGGTCTCAGTCACCGTGGCATCACTGTGGCCAGAAAGGTGGAGTCTGTGTCCCTGGGGGCTCCCACAGAGATCAGGTGTCCAAGGGGTGCAGCGTGAGGTGCTGCCCCAGCATAAGAATGAGGTGCCAGCAAGCACCATGACCCACTAGGGTGGCCACAGGTGTTTAGCTGCCTTTCCAGCCTGTCTTTGCCCTTCCTATTGAGCTATTTCCCCTCCTTCAACTGCCACCCACCCCACCTACGGCCCCGGCCCTTCACGGCCTGACCCTGCACACTGCCACCCGCTCTCAGCTGCTACAGCACACGGGCCTCCTGGCTGCCCCTGAACACAACACATGCTCTGGCTCAGGGCCTTGGCAAGGACCCCCTCACCCCAGGAGGACGAAAGTTTTCAAATGTTCATTGTTATAGCCTCTGTTGTTTTTGAAGTCTAGCAGGTGCCCAAAAGATATTTGTTGAATGAATGAATGAATGAATGAATGAACAGAGTGTGAGTGGACAGCAGGGCAAAGGCTGGAGCAGTCGGCCAGGCCTGGGAAGTGTGCTAAGGGCAAGGACTCTACCCTGCAAAGTGGGATCATCACAGGGTTTCATCTCATGCTGGTGAAACAGGGTCAAGCTTCCCTCTCGGGCACAGCAGAGAGCAGCGTGGGCATAGAGAAGGGCAAGCGAGGCAGAGAGAAGCCCTGGCGAGGGGTGATGGTGTGAGAGGAGGGAGAAGTGGGCCATGGGACAGTGCAGTCAGATGACTTGGGACTTGGGTGGGGAAGGGAGGGAGAAGTCGGGGCGGCCACAGTTGTCTGGCTTGTGGAGCTGGGCAGGAGGAGGGTCCTGGCGCTCACAGCTTGTCCAGCTTCTGGGGAGAGCTCAGGGGCTCCGTCTGGACCATGGAGAGCTGAAGGGCCTCTGGGACTTCCATGAGGAGTGACCAGCAGGCTCTCGGACGGGAGTCTGGGCTGGCGTGGGAAACTGTGGGAGTCGTCAGAGCACACATGGTGACAGAGGACGAGAGAGAGAGACACTGTGACTGGAAGACAGCGGGAGAGAGAGGGCCCAGGGCAGGGAGGGCGATGAGCTGCCTTATGGCAGGGAGGGATGCACAGTCTGCAAATGAGGCAGGAGCAGGGCGCCGGGAGTGTGGCCTCAGGATCCCCGCAGTGGGCAGTTCTAGGAGCACGGAGCACGGCCAGTAGCTGCTGTCCTCAGGTGGACAGCGGGCACAGCAGGGTCAGGGCATGTGGCCAGCTGGGCTCCAGGGCCTGCGGGCCCCTTGGAGGGATGGGCAGCAGCCGGCTCTGTCCGTCTATAACAGTCACTCTCACCCCTTCCAGTTTTTCGCCTTCATCACCACCCTGCTCTACGTGCTCCACGCCTTCAGCATCTACTACCACTGAGGGCAGGAGTCCTGCCCGGCGCGAAATGCTCCTGTAACACGTGGACCATGGCTCACGAAGGTCGCTTCAGCATTCGCCATCTGGATGACACACAGACCAACAACACATCAGTGGGACTAACAGACCGTCTTTTCAGACAGAAGGATGAAATCACACTCCGCATAGCCTCCTGGACTTTGCAATCCGTTGTGATGACTGTGGACAGGCTGCGTTGTCTTTTGCCTGGGAAAGTAACTGGCTCCACAAAACGAGCTTCCAAAGCCCTCAGCACTGAGAATCCCGATCCACCAGCGTCACCTGGTGGATCCACCTGGCTGGGGACCCGTCTCAGCAATTAGGGTCCCCAGGCAGGTGTGTGGGAACGTGCAGTCTTCGTTTCTTAAAGCCGAAATGGTGCTAGCAATGCCTCCACATCTCTGCTTAGATGCAGACCCTCTCCCGCCCTGTGGTTCTGCTCTGATCGGCAGCAAAGACCAGCCACACTGCCACCCCCATTACATCCCCCTTCCTTCCCTCCCCAGCTTCGGGATCCAATTTAGAGGCTAGATTTGCAGGAAAAGAAGTGAGTGACTCTACAAAACTGTTATACGGTAAGAGCTGGGGGCGGGGGGGCTGCAGGACCCTACCCGACAAGGACTACAAGCCACCTTGCCCCCCACAAAAGACCTTCAAGGAAGGAAGCAGGATGTTACGTACAAAGACTCTCCCCTGGGCTCCTCTCACGCTATGCGGGGCATTTAAGGAGGCCGGGAAAGGGATGTGCTCTTTCGTGGGTGCCCACCCCCCTCAAGTGCCCGCTGTGGTGCCACCAGAGAGGAGCCCGGGCCACTCCGCTGCCTCCTACAGCGTGGGGCTCACACGGCTGGACACATGGCGTTCAACTTTTGGACCATTCTCAACGAGAAGGCTGGCGTTGTGCACACAGAAACACAAAAAGAGGTGCTTGGTTTCAAAGTAAAGGTTTTCCCTGAGAAACACGGCTGTGCATCTGGGATTTCTCCACACCGTCCTCGGCTCCCCAGTGGGTCTCCTGGCCTCTCGGCTCGGGCATCGCGGCTCAGGCATCGCCCATAACCGCACGCACCTGGGACTCCTCTTAGCTGATTTAAGGGCTCACAGTTCCTATCTTCTGCTCCTGGGAGAAGGGGGACAGGGAGTCACCGAAGAGAAACCGGCTTCCCTGTCGTTGACTGCTGGCTTCCCAATTGCCCCGCTATCTTGAAAAGCCCCCATTTATCTCTCTCTTTCTTGCCTGGCAGCTGCCTGGGATGAGCACTGTTCAATATTTACCGAGTAGCCACATCCAAATAAAAGGTGTTTTACAGTAAAACATGCCGAGTGGGCCACTTTGGTGACGCTAGAAGCTGGGAACGCGCTGTGTCACAGCCTGACAGCCCCTGTGGAGGTTTCTCGGGCCCAGCCCCCGGCCAGCCGAGTGTGAGGCCACATTTGTCTCCAGGGCTTGGGCAACATGTCCACCTCAGTAAGGACAGTCTGGGTACAAGTCCCAGAGCCAAACTCACGCAGCTGAGGCAAAGCTGGGGGCGCACCGGCTAGTCCTGGGTGGGGAGCAGGCCCCTTGCCAGCCCTCTGTTCCTGCTCTTCTTCCTGGGGTGCTGTCCTCTCTCCCACCACCCCGCAGGCCCCCCACTCACCGTGCAGACCCTGTGGGCCCAGCCCCGAGCCCTGCCCCACCCCTTCACCTGCAGCTGACGCAGTTCCAGGCTCGCCACCCCCTTCCTACCTTGGGGGATGGTCTCCTTTACTTCTAGGGCCATCCCTAGGCTCCTGACTTTGCAGGGAAGACCCCAAGGCACTCCAGCAGGAAAGCAGCCCAGGGGCCAGGGCACAAGCTCATCTCAACTTCACTTTCCCATCTGCACCCCAACTTCCCAGCATCCTGCACACAAGTCCTTGGCTCACGGTGTTGGGCGACTGCAGACCAAACATCCCACACCATGTCCTGAGCACCAAGCATGTGGTTGTCGGGCTCACCAGCCACACCCCTGTACCAGCCAAGCAAGTTTGCGGGTTAGATTTGCGGTTTTAACCCAGACAGCCAGCAATTCTGCTTTGGCCAATAACTGGGCTACAATCTTTCAAAGAGATGAAACAGTAATAAAACATTAATATTTCAAAAACAAGCAAGCATCCTGGCCCAGTGGCTCAGTTGGTTGGAGCATCATCCGGTGCACCAAAAGGTTTCAGGTTCGATTCCCTATCCGGGCACATACGGAAGGCAATCAATTGAGTTTCTCACATCGATGTTTCTCTCGCTCTCTCCTCTCTCTAAAATCAATAAACATATCCTCAGGTGATGATTAAAAAAATAAGAAAAACATCATACCTCTTGGGCAGTGGTCGGCAAACCGCAGCTTGCGAGCCACACGCGGCTCTTTGGCCCCTTGAGTGTGGCTCTTCCACAAAATACCGGCTCTTCCACAAAATACCGACTTCTGAGCATGGGCCATGAAGTTTCAATCGCACTGTACGTGCGTGCCCGCACGTGGTATTTTGTGGAAGAGCCACACTCAAGGGGCCAAAGAGCCGCATGTGGCTCTCGAGCTGCGGTTTGCCGACCATGGCTCTGGGGTCAGCCAGAACAGGACTGGAAAAGCCCCAATAACAGAATGTTTGGCTCCCCCCACACCACCCCTGACCTGTCACTGGCCTTCGTGTCCGGAATCTGAAGTGGAGCCTGTCTCAGGGGAGGCTGGACGCTGACCTGGGAGAACCACGTGCAGGCTCTTCCGCAGCATGATGGGCGGCGGAGAAGCAGCACCAAACTGCTGATTTCCCCAAATCCTGCAGAGCTAGATTCTCCTTCAGGTGGAGCTGGTCCTTTCAAGGATACCAGAGGACTCCCAGTCCCCGTCCTGCCACACACCTGTCCCTCGGTCACCATCCCGCAGGCTGTGTCTCTGCCTCTGTCCAAATCTGCGCAGCACACAGCAGCAGTTCACAGCTGGGGAAGGTGTGGCATGTCCATGGTGACGCTGGGCCACCTGGGCAGAGGCTCAGCTCCCGGGAACTCTTACTGACCTAGTAGACCTTGTCCTCGCTGCGCTGGGACTTATCTCTGTGGAGTTCAGCCCGTCTCTGCCCCAGGTGTGTGTTTTATCGCAGGAGAATGTTGGACATGGTGACAAAGCACTGGGCTGACTCAAAGCCCCACCTAGATGCCTCTTTATTGTAACTAGGCCACCCAGGACGCACCCTGGTTTCTGTTGGCCTTACAGTGTCCCACTGACCTCCCACCCCTGCACCACAGCCCGTGGCTGCATCGCCCAGGGGACTGGAGCAGCAGGCAGCCCCTGCCCATCCGTCTCCCCCAGCCCTGCCCGTCTCTGCCCATCCTCCCCTCCAGGCCCTGCTCCTGTGACAGCTGCTCAGTGACACCACATCCTCGCCTCCCAGGGGAAGCCATCCCAATTTCACATCCAGACGCTGCGTGCTTAGGTTGTAGGTCACGGCCTTAAACCTCACCCCTGGCGTTTCTCCACATTTTCTTCCTTGCTTTGACCTTTAACCTAAGAAGTTTCAAAGCACAGGAAACAGAAAATAGGAACCAGTTTATCAAAACACGCAGAATGCCATCCCAGGAAGGTCAGCCAGCCCTGAGCCATGCTCTCGTCCCACTTTTGCATTCACTCCAGGGGGATAAATTAATGTGTGTGACAGGCAGGGCCCCTGACACCCATTCCAGGCTTCTTCGTTGCTCCCATGATCCTGCTGGTGGTGAGGGCTGGATTCTGGCAACTGAGAAGGAAGCAGAGATCTCCTGAGGGTGGGGGCACGGGGTTCGGGAAACCTTTCCCTTTCCTGAAGGGGTCAGACATGACTGGCTGTCTTAGACTGAGTTCCTGGGGACAGGATCTCAGCCGGAGGCTGTGTGTGTGCAGGTTTACTGAGGAGGCCCCTGGGGAGATGAACCTGGGACAGGTGAGGGGGTGGGACAAGCCGAGGAGGAGCTGGCCCGAGTGAGGTTGCAGCCTTGGCCCGACGAGCGGCTGCCCCTGCAGAGTTGCCCTGCCTGGCCGAGTCACAGGGCAGAGCCTCTGTCTCCCACATCAGCGCCATGAGCACCGGGTCATTTTTAGGGGTGAGGGTGCAAAGGCATCAGTGGCAACTGCTCTCCCACGGGCCTTTCCCCAGCAGCTGGAGGTGTCCATCCACCTGAAGTGGTGACCTGGTGGCACCACCACACCCACTGCTCTGTCCTCTCCCCTCCTGCCTTGAACAAGGACATCATGGCTGGGGCGACTTCCAGGAGATGGTGAAGAAGCTGGCCAGACATTGAACACTGTTGGACCAACACCAGATATTGCTTTCCTCAGCGTTTTCTGTTTTGTTTATTTTGTTTTAATTTTATTTTTATTGATTTTCAGAGAGAGGGGAGTGGGAGAGAGATAGAAACATCGATGAGAGAGAAACATCACATTCATCGGCTGCCTCTGCACATCCCTCACTGGGATCGAACCCCCAACCTGACCGGGAATCGAACCGGCAACCTCTTGGGTGCATGGGTCAATGCTCAACCACTGAGCTACACCAGCCAGGCCTCAGCGTTTTCGTTTTCTGTGAGGTTGACTCCCATTGTGGTTGACTCTCTAAAAGGCATTCTCCTTCCCACCTCCAGCGCCCGGCCTTCCCTCGGAGGCCCCCCTCCTGCATGGCTCTGGAGTCCACCTTCTCCTCGCTCCTTTAGGCCCATCGCTGGAGTTGCACATAGGTCCTGCATGCCCAGAGCCAGGTTCTGCCTTTAGGAACCCCCGCCAGTCCCCAACCCGGATCAGATTTTGTTCCTGCCTGGCCCAAAGTCCTTCGCTGCCCTCAGAATGAAGTCCAGCCTCCTTAGGAAGTGGCCACCAGGCCCTCGCACAGGTCTGCCCCTGCCCCTGATGGCCCTGCATCAGGATGGCCCTGTGGCCGCTCGGCCTGCTGCTGTGGCCACAAGTGGTGGATTTTCTGTCCCCTCTCCCTGGGCACATGAAGCCCTGACCCTCTTGTTGCCATGAAGAGCTCTTATTTGTCCTGCAGAACATCTTCCCGACTCCTCCCTCCCCACCCCTGCAGTAAATCACTGCCTCCTCAGTGCCCCTGCACCTGGGTGTGTGCTGCTGTCACCACTAGGCCACAAGGTTGCCAGGTCTGGGGTCTGGCTCTTGGATGTTTTTATCATCTTTGCCCATCCCCACCCTCCCGGGACCGGCCCCACCAGCCTCTGCTCTGAGTGCTCTTCCCAGGACTGTGGACAGAGGTGAGGACTTGCAAAGGCCATAGCCAGCCTGCAGGGACAGTGGCACAGCTGGCTCCTGCCCTCCCCATCCTCATCTCCAACCCCACGGTCTGACGTCCTGGGAGCAAAGGCTGTTCTATGCCTGTCTGTTTACCTCCTAGACTTCCGTGTGGCAATCCAGCTCCTTCCACCCTGGACTCTCATTTACAATGAGGAGGAGCCCAGCCCACCACCACCAGGGCCTGGCCCGGCTCTGGTGGCCTCTCAGGGCCCTGCTGCGGGCCACCATGGACAGCTGGAGCACCAGGGCTGGCCAGCGTGCTTTCCAGTCCTCCCCTGGTTCCATCCAGCCCAGCACACAGTAGGGCTAAAAAGCAGGCACTCGGGTGCCCCGACAATCCCACAGCCCGTGTGTTAGGGAGCTCTTCTAAGGGAACTGCTAAAACCGTGGTTCCGAAATGTCACAGGCCAACTGAGCAGCACGTGGACGTGGGGCCAGGAGGGTCAGTTGTGGCCATGAGTGTGAGAGCAGGGGTCCCCTCCACTCTGTGTGGAGGAGGCTGGCAGCAGCTGCTGTGGCTTTTTAGGGCGCCTCCTTCCTCAGACCCCTGTTTCTCTATATGGAGACCTGCTCTTGCCTTTAGGAAGAAGGGGTGCAGCGGACCACTCTCCTGGGCCAACTCCGCCAGGCGGCCTGCCTGGCCGCAGTGTGGGGACCATGAGTGCAGTGGAAGCTGTGAACTTGGCAGGGCACGTGGACTCTCCAAGACGGGTTTCTCACCCACAGCGTGGCGTGCTGGTGGCCTCCCCTGACATCCAGGTCTAGGTGCCTCAGGGTGGAGACAGACCACGGTGGCTGACGTCAGATGCAGTTTGGTTACGGTGTGATTATGGCTAAGGGTAGTCATGTCGAGTGCATTTAAGTCACCTCTCCAGATGCACTGAGAGGAGGGGCCACCACGATGCACCTGTAACAGCGGCAGTAGGTTTGGGAGCCTGTGAAGTGTGATCGTCAGTCACTTGCACAGTCAAACCTGGAGGGAACCCACGAGGGCGCCAGGTCATGCCCCTGCCTCCAACAACCATAGGGA